CATTATTCCTGGCATTAGAAGTAGTTTTGGGATTAAATAAAACACAATTATTTTGAAAAACTGGAGGTGATTTTAGGGAATAAGATTGTATGTGCCCAAAAAACTAGTAACGGTATGCAAAATTCGGTTAAATGTTAAAGTGGGAAGTAACTTGTCTATACGTGCGTCATTTAAACCTCGTCCTCAGACAGTGACTCAAATCCCTAACCTAGTGTTTACTTTCCAGATCTGCTATTAAAGCACAGCCCACTGAGAACTACAATTAAATGTAGTAACTGACAGGGGAAACATTATTAGGATTGTTCATGGTTACTTAACTGAGTAGGTGTCCTGCAGACTGACAAGAAAACTGACTCACTAGAATAGAAAGCTTAAAATTAGGGTCCAAATTAGCCGACTCAGATTAAAAGTTGAATTGGAAAAACTCAGCGAGAATGATAACATTATACATTTTATCTATGAGATTCTCCATAGCACATTTGTGGAATATTTCTCACAATAGATACAAAACAAAATTAAGAAACAGAATGAAAATGAGTTTCAGGTTTTTTGTGACCGGCATGGAAAATGGCTCATCTTGTATATGATGCTGTAAGTGTTTACATATGAAAGGAATAACAAAATAATTAATTTTTTTTTCGATGGGATAAAAATACACTAAAATGATTCGGACAATTGGCAAGCTTAATGCCCGTAAGAAATATACTTTTCCGTAGGGCTGTCAAATGATTAATCACGATTAATCGCATCCAAAATAAAAGTTTGTGTTTACATAATATATGTGGGTACACTGTGTATAATTATTTTGTGTGTATATATATATATATATATATATATATATATATAAAAAACACACACATCCATGTATATTTAAGAAAAATATATTATTTATATATAAAATATTTATATATATATATACACAATATACATCTATATACAGTATATACATGAAAATATTTCTTAAATATATACAAGCATGTGTGTGTATTTATATATATAACATACACAAACTTTTATTTTGGATGCGATTAATCGCAATTAATTGTTTGAGAGCCCTAGTTTCGTACTTTTTAAATTCACCCTCGACTAAAGAGTTCCTTTTGGACACTGCTTGAAATCCAACTTGCTGGTGTTTGAGGGACAAACTCCATCATGAAAGATAACTAACAGGTTTTGTTTGACATTAGATTTGTGAGAGAGAAGAAAGCCAAATCCAAAACCTGCTCTTCACAACGTTGTCTCCCTCGCATATATTTTTAAAGTCAACACAGTGGTGTGCCAAAGCAATTTTCTGAGTTCATAAAGTAAAATTCAAAAGGCTTTAGAACGCACAATAAAAAGCTCCACACCAAGTATTTCATTTCCCAGCAAGAGTCCTTAGCAAACACGCAAAGCAGTACAATACACAACCCCTGCCAAAAATGTACTTTCAACACTTTCTTTGGTTCAGGGTGCATGTTCCAGGCTTCTGTTTGGGCTTGAGGCCTTCCAAAAACATCCCCCCACAGAATTCCTGCATTTCTGTCAAAACACAGTTCGGACCAGGCCAAAGTGCATGCTGAGTGTGAGTGTGTGTGGCCATGCTGCACCACAAGGGATGTTGAGAGTGATCACAGGCACTGTCAAAACATTCCCTCAACCTCTCCCCTCAGTCACACTGAAATAACCAGTTTCCAAATCTTTGACGTACTTCTGTTTTTCTGTGATTGGGAAAGTTTTACACATACACTACCAGTCAAAAAAATGTAGAAACACTACAGTGAATTTGTTTCTCAGGGTCTTTTATAACTTATTGATCTAAATTGAATCCTTAGAAACGTGAAACGTGTCATTTAAAGGGTTAGTTCACCCAAAAATGAAAAGCATAGCGTAATTTACTCACTCTCTATCCTAGCCTAGGTGTATATGACTTTCTTTTTCAGTCAAACACAGTTTTAATGCCTTTTACTGGGAAATAACTACAGAAAGAGTAGATGTGTGTATAAACTTTTATCTGGTGGAGTAATTGTTTGAGGAAATAATTTGTTGAGTGCCAAAAACGCCCGTCATCATTTCTTCATGATGTTCATCACACGGTTCCTTGGGTAACTAGTAAGTTTAACTTAGCTCAATCAATTCTGTATGCCTCAGGTCATAATTTGGGTATAAAATACAATATTAACTTAAATACAAGATTTATAAAAGCATGTAACATTTAAATAGCTAAACACGTGAACGCTTGCGCTATCGTAGTTGACATTTTCTTCAAATCCGTTGAGTTTCTTGGAGGCCACACCTGAGGAGGAAACTTGCCACACATACATTGCCTAAAAACCTGCCCTCAAACTCAAAAGTATGTTAGCATATATCTCCCTTTCCGTCTTAAAAGAAGTTTTTGAATCCCAATGACACTTACTAATGTGACAAAGTGCTTAAAAAATTTGATGTGTATTACATCAACGAGTCGCTGGCCGTTATCTGTAATTCGTCACTCACCCAACAGGAGCAGCTTTACTTCTTTGGCTGCTTTCTCGCCGTCCTCGCGCAGATTCCTGTCAATCATTTTGGATCGCTCGGCCGCGGCTTTATCTTCCTGGCTCACGGTACAGCCCATGGTTCCGAATGCGCGCTTCAGGGCTACAGATTTATGAGTATAGATTTAGGAGAAAAAAATAAAAGGTATTACCCTTTTAAAGCGGCTGTGTTTTTAAAATAGTCTTCCGTGACTAACTTCCTCTTCTGGCTTTGAAAAAAAAAATAACTGCCAGGGAAAGGAAATGTCCTTAAGACACTAGTAGATCCAAAACTGATGTTTTTATGCGCCCGAATAATCTTTCAAAAGACGTCTGGGGGGTTGGGAGAAAGATATAATTTATATATTTTAACGTTACTGAGATCAGAACACCTGGAAATTGTTGACGTTTAAGGCTCCCAGGAGAAAGCAAGTAGCCAGACGCTGGAGTTTTACATCACGCGAAAAGGGAGGGGGGGAAAACTTATATCCACATATCCAAAAAAAAAAAGTTAGCAAAAAAAGTTGAGATCAACCCCTTGTGCTCATGTATATAAAACGAAGCCAATCGATGAGACAACTCGGCGAAACTGAATGAATCTGAAAATGCAAAAATCCCAGTGTTTTCCTTGGTTAGTCCTTTCTGTGATCGCCGATGGTTTTGAATAATATGCGCCGTTAGGCAGCTAACGTTGAACGGTCTCTGATTTCTTTCAGTGTTTTCAAAGCCGCCACACCCCAGCCCAGTCTGCTGAGAAGTTGCTCTCTGCCACACAGCAGAAGACAGTTTAGAACTGTTGGGTTTCTCGCGCATTGCCAGCCAACCCCTCGCGGATACGCCCACCGCGGGTGCTCATGGGAAATGAAGTTTTCCCCAGTACACACACAAAAAAGTAAAAAACTCTCAGATTTCATCAAAAAGATCTTCATTTGTGTCCAGAAGATGGACAAAAGTCTGACAGGTTTGGAATGACATGAGGATGAGTATGACCGAATTTAAATTTTTGGATGAACTATCCTTTTAATTGTGAACTAACACATTGAATTAAGATTTAAGAAGTATAAAGACTGGAATAGCATTTTCTTGTTAAATGTACTACAATAATAATAACAAAACAGCTTTGAAAAATATGTTTTACAGAGTAGCGAGCCTGCAGCTTTACAGAAAATGTGTACATTCAAATTAACTTGAATAACTTAAAAAAAAAAAATATTGAATTCATATTTAATTCAGTGGTGTGGATTTTAAACTATAGAGTAAGAAATATATTAAACTTTCTTTTTAAATGTGGTATTTATTTAAAGCATGAACTGATCAAGTTTATGCAAAGTTAGGAAAATAGCATCTGCCAAATGCGTAAATGTAAATAATGTAAATAATACATTTTGATTCAGGGAATAAATGAACTGATAAACTATTTGCTAAGTTGTTTGGATAAAATATCTGCCAAATGTGCAAATTTTAAATAACCAAAATTATTATTTACGAGTATCTATTTATTAGATGTTTCTTTTGACAAAATTGCCTGTGTGGTGGGTACATTGGCTTTCTCTTGTTTGCTGTTCAATGACAAATGGCATTCTTTAGATTAGAGCCCCTGTAAGAAATCACTTTTGTTGAGACGTATGTCAATATTGACGCACTGATTGCTGTGTGTGTTCTGTATGAGTTGTGTTTAGGCAGGAGATGAAACCTTGTTCAAAGTAAATGCTCTCAATGATTTTTCCATATGGAGTGTGTTTCCATCGTTGTTTGGCTAAGCAAACAGTGTCACGACAGAGAGATAATAGTTAGCAGGCTCTGTGTTTCATACCGCCCCCATGTGTCTGAAATTATATAAATTCACACTATATTGTACATTAGACACCAGTCCAGCCTTTCGTATGTCATTTCCATATATTGTTTAATTAAACCGTTAAAGTATATAATTTATGGATTGGTTATTTAATTGTCGAGTTTTAAAGCTGAAACCGCTCGCTTCTCCTAGCTAATGCTAGCTTCTCCTAGCTTCTCTTACTGCTAGACTTCAGCATATAATAAACAAAACAGTTAAAGCAAGTACAATAGCATCATTTCCTTGTGGGAAAAGTACCAAAATAAATCATCTTGGTGTCTTTACGGATTCAGGTTGCACATTTAGGTAAACAGCTTTTGGAAACAACTTATTTTTTTAACATGCGAACGTTTTCAGGAAACTGCAGCTTCAAGGCAAGATTCTGTTTTGACATCAACAGCTTTAGGCTAAGAGGACAATCAGCGAGAAGGAAAGGTAAAAGAGTGTTGTGGTGGAAGAAACAAATCTGCAGGTTTGATCTCAGGAACTTGAGATGTCATATCTGCTTTCAGAGAAATGTGACTCAACCTGCAATTAGGGTATGTAGGTTGATTTAGATATAGATCTGCCAAACGAAAGCGCATTTATTTATTGAACACGTTCAATGAGCCACAGAGACATCATATCAACATTCACATCACATGAATATGAGAAACACACCTGTGAAGACTGAACCAAGAAAGTATGAATATTATTTATTCTTTTTTTATTTTAACATTGTTTACAGTACATTAAATGCCAGCAATGTACTCAATACTGAGAATAAAGAAAATAAAGACTGGCTTTTTAAAAAGCATTTTTAAAAATTATTACGTTTTAATCATCGACTAAACATCATCTGACTATTTACAATATATAAACTATAGATGTGCTTATAATATAAAGGGTTTACATTTATGTACATTATTTATAAATGCTGCCTGCCATGTAAGTAATGAATTCATATAAACTGTTACAAACAGATGACACTTTCATTACATCACAAGGGAAACATCACGCTGACTGGACACAAGTACACAACTGCTATAAAGACAATTAAATGCTTCCCCCTTCTGCTACTTTGTGTGAATCATTTCAGATTTGGAGATCGTGCTTAAAAAGTGCTGCCATCAGCTCGGAAGCTACAAAAGCGGGGCGTGGGAAAGTCTGGGGATGGAAGCACAGCATTATGGGGGATCTTGTTGGTCAGGGTAGTTTCTCCTGCACCGCTGTTAATGTTACAGTTGCAGCAATCACAGATTGTACTTCTAAAGGGAAAAGTATGTATGTATGATTCATCATCGATGCTAACAATGTCTAGTTTGTGCTATATGATAGTAAGTTAATAAGAGCTAACAGGCTAGCTACCTTCATCATAAAATCAGTCATCAGAGAGAAGTCAAATACTCAGCATCACCATAAAGTCAATATTACACTATGAAATTTCACTCCAAATTCTAGATATATATATTTGTGTGTGATTTTGGAGTGAAATGATACTTTGTTTAGCGATCAGGAATCATTTTGAGTCATTAGATAAGGACAGATACTGGCAATTCTTTAACAACTGGCACATTTAGTTCTCAGGCTTGTAAACACACATGAACCTACACTGCTAAAACAATGGGACACTTTTGTGCTTGAGAAACCACATTGGTGTGTGAGGCATTACACCACTACAGACAACTTGTCACCATCACCAAACACACACAATTAAACGCTTCTTTACCAAACTATTAATTAACCATGATCTCAATGGGTTATTTCACTGATGCACTTCAGAAATCATACAAATATTTAATCAGTAAATCATTTCTCTTTGCATATCCAAAACAGCACAAAGAGGGAAATTAACTAAAGAAGCATCCGATCCAACCATGATAAACATGATTTTTTTTTTTTTTTTTTTTAACAGTACAGGTTGTAATTTGGAATATATTACTGTCAGACAGGCCCTTGATGCAGCACCAGAGACGTTTAAAACACTGAAAGAAGATATCGAGATATGTAATTATGCTGATACTGGTTCACAGATATGATGATTTATTTATATGTGTGGCTGGCCTATCCATTAAACATGAATTAAACAGACAAAATGAACTAAAAAGTACCACAATTTAACATTTAGACAGTTCATTACAGTACATTCACTGACTGAAATATTCTTTCTCCATAAGCATTAAGAGGAGCGAACGCACACATTCACACACAATAAAACACCACAGTGTTACCACTTAGATCATTATGGGCCAGTAAGTGCTTGATTTATAGTGTTTTAGGATGACGAGTTTCAATTACAAAGATTAAAAATATTCATGATGTACCATGTTAAACATCCACACATCACTTGTTTTCTTTTTTCTTCAAACAATTTACAGTTAGTTGTACATATGCTTTGTTCATATATCTGCCTACAAAATATATTATTCATCTATGATTATGTCAAACTGTCACGATGTCATGATTAAGTTAACTGGGTCACTAGGTCAAGAGATTGAGCGGAAGTTGTGCTTCAAATGAAAGTGCTACAGTTTAAGGTTTCAATAATCGCCAACCGATCTCCGAAATCATCCGACTGGTTCGGTTAATAGCATAACTAGAAGCAAAACTTTAATACGATCAGCTTTCCACTGAGCAACATTTACCACATGTACGCCATTTGCCCTGGAACTAAAACGTTCATGCACACCAATGCACAATATTTGTTTCTCCAATCAAGGAGAAGACCCTGTGAATATTTTTTTTTTCTTTTTTGGTTTCCTCTGCATATAAATCCAGAGTCTTTCAAAATCAGTTAAGAAGGACTCGTGGGACTATTACATACTGACTATATTAACTGTGCTTTCCAATCTGTGCTTTCCCATTGCAATCAGCAGTATTCATTAAAATTTTCAAAACGTTCCTTTCACCATAATTTTTTTTTAGATCTGAATCTTTTAAAGATGGCATTTAAGCTGAAAAGTTAAAAATTGTAAAAGGGATGTGATAGATATCCTTGAGAGGACCGGATGAATTGGAATACTCTTCTATTTTCTATATCAAATATATGTATGCTCATATACCTGCTAATAAATTTATCTCTAAATATTGTAGAAAGGATAAACATTATAAATCCATATAAAAATGTGACACGTACATCTGTTCTATACGTACAATTTGCATACATTTGAAATTGTGTAATAGACTGCAGCCAAATCAAGTCTGGATTCTGGACGAGGTCGTGTGTTGCCTCTGAACAGCCTTCAGTGTCAGATTTCTCACAGCTTTCGCACAGAGTATTGCTATATCTAATATGAGATATGATCAAATAAACACTTTAATAACTACCAATCCTCCCATCAGAACTGAGCACTTACAGTACTGTGATTAATCTCTTGTGAATGTGGCCGAGGGGTAAAGGTGAAAGGTCATGATATTGAGGGATGGATGGGAGGTTGGACCAGCTGATGAGTCTGTTTGGTTAGAATGCAAAATCCCTTTTGTAGCAAACCCTGCATACTGCATGTGCTGTAACTATAGCACATACTGACTATTAAGGGCTTTTGATTTTCTAGTTCTGGTCATCCCCACATATCAAGCTTTAAAATTAATATTTACATGCCCCTTCATGACTTAAAATGGAATTAATGCCGGCCTGAGATGGGTCAACACCCCATTTACAGCACATGCAGGTCACAAGGCCAAATAATGCATTGATTGAATGCAACTAAAGCTAGGAATCTGTGTGACTGATCCCTGACTGATCTAGTGAGAGATTCTGCATCCTCCCCAACTACTGACCCGAAAATCAAATGAAAAAGCATAAACCATTAGAGGATGTGGTCTAATGACCACTGTTTCCTTTGCTGCTCCCTGACGTCCAATCAATGATGATGAAGCTCAGGCTCATTATCATAAATAAGACTCCTAAAATGGCGAAGCAAGCAGCCTATAAAAAAAAGAAGAGAGGCAAGATTATTACCACTGCGATGTAATCTAAATATGCAATCGAAATATTCTGAAGTAATGTCTCGGTCAAAATAATTATTTTTTAGCATACAAACCAAAGCAAATTTTTAGAACATTAAAGGAGAACTCCGGCACAAAATGAACCTTTGGTCTAATAAAACATCGGTACCTAGTCAACCGTTCTCTGAGATTTGTTTTCATGATAATCGAATGTAAAGAGTTTTATCGCATAACGCTAGTATATGGGGGCATATAATAAGTAAAAAGATATCGCTACTAGTAAATACCACTAACAAGTCTCAAAATAGCCCCACACTAACAAAGTAACAAGTCGAAGTCACAAGTCGAACCTCGAATGTGTGCCAAGTGAGCTGAACTGTATGAAGGCGTTCGTGGTTCGACTTGAGACTGTTTTCCAAAGATGGCTCCTGCCTGTATACACGAAGTGAACTGTCTTTATAAAGTATCTTCTTATTAAACGGTCTGTACACTTACAACGTTCTCAATGCTTTGTTTTGCATGTATGGACCTGCATTATGTTACTGTGTTAGTGTGGGGCTATTTTGAGCCTTGTTAGTGGTATTAACTAGCGATTTCTTTTTACTTATTATATGCCCCCATATACTAGCGTATACTGTATGCTAAACAGTTTTAGAGATTAAATTCTTTACATTCGATTATCATGAAAACAAATCTCAGAGAACGGTTGACTAGGTACCAATGTTTTATTATACCAAAGGTTCATTTTGCGCCGGAGTTCTCCTTTAAGATTTTCTTTTGTATTGTGCCACTTTCATGTTTATGATTTTAAAACATTGTACACACTGCGGCTAAATTCAGTAGTGGTTCACCTTTTAGGGCTTAATCCTGTTCTGTACAGACACAGTTCAATTATTTCTGGGAGTGACCATTGCATTCTACAACCGAATTTACTGAAAACCGCATTTACAAAAATTCGACGCAGTCTTTACGGAAGCGAACTGAACAAAGTTGTAAATTATGTATTTAAAAGTTTATCAGAAATGTTTCTCTCTTCTTCATGTGCAGAGAAAGAAATCACAGGGACGAGCATTGACTCATTTGTGTTTCCATAAATAAAACATTTTTCATACTTTCACCAAAAATTTCAACGCAATTTTAAATAAAACAAAAAAACAACAATGAGAATTGAGGGGGGAAATGTTCTTGATTGTCATGAAAAACAATCTCACAATGCAAAAAATAAAAATAAAATTATATTTAATTATTATATTAATTAATTATATTTATTTAAATATATATACACATTCAGTTTTCAGTTTTTCTTCGGATCAAAGGGGTTAAATATAATCTGGACATTTCTTAGAATTTCTCCGGGAACCGATTCCTGCAGTTTGCTGTAACTTGAGGTGGACTAGTTTACTAGTTTTCAATAGTTTGGGTCACACCAAAGATTTACCCAAGGGATTTACAAAGCACTTCGAATGATTAGTTTTCAGAGAATCTCAATCTAAAAGAGGTTTTAAAGCATCTACATTCCTGCAAGAGGCAAGAAACCAGATCCCACTATGGATGAATGGGGGGAAACCGAATACAGTATGTCTAGAAGTACTTACAAGGATTTTCGGCGGTGAGCGCATGGGTTCATCTTCCTCGGGAACAATGCGGATGTAAAACACAGCAGGAAATATAAAGATGAGGCACGGCGCGGATGTGGCACCTGTGGAACAAATAAACACATGTGGACACTTACTTAGTAAATGTAAACCTAAACCTTCACTAACATGATTCATCATCCCTAAGGAATAAGTCATGACTGTGTCAGAAAATCTTTAGTTAAAGCAGTACATAAGTCTTAATCATTTAGGGACAATTGCTGTACAGAACAATAGTGTCCATTCTTCTCTGAGGTAGGTAAAACTCACAAGAAGTGGAGAACCAATTGGTGTTATCGAGTTAAGTGTGAGATCAGGAGAAACTATCATGTACTGTAATAAAGGCAAAGCATAATGGTACTTTGTTGATAATTATATACACATTCCAAAGGCGATTAATAATGCTGGTGGGGATTTATGCACGACTGGCACGGTGCGTACAGTATTATAGTCTGAAACTTGAACGCATGTGCTGATAAAAGCGAATGTGAGGTCTTTGAGGTTGCCATGGAACGGTACGCTGCTCTCACGCTCTTTTCAAAAGAACGAAAGAATCCAACATCACTCGAGAGCACCAAACCTACCGATGATCCCGAAGATGCCCAGGATGTTTGGGGCGAAGATGACCAGTAAGTTGATGAGGGTGAGGAGGCAGACAGCTATGGCAATGTGACGTGGCCACCAGAAAGTTTTATTTGGAAAGAACATCTGCTGAATTGCTCTCCTTACCTGAGAAAAGACATTAAAATAACAAAGCATTGAAATCAGATACTGAAATACTGCCTGTCATCCAATCCGGACTCCACAACAAAGTTGTAACTGGATAAGATGAAGTCTAGTTGTAAAGTTTATGTGTGTGTAATTGTGTAATACTCACAGGAAACAGCACGATGGGTACAGTGAGTGTGACGGCAGTCAGCACAGCTAGACGAACGCACAGGATGAGCGTGTCATACGGGTCAATTCGGCTGTAGGTGTGCAACAGCTCGGCTTCCACTTTATCTACACACAAATACAATCATTTGTGTTTAAAATATATATATATATATATATATATAAAAAGTAGGGCTGTGCAAAAATTAATTGCGATTAATCGCATCCAAAATAAAAGTCTGTGTTTACATAATATATTTGTGTGTGCTGTATATAATTATTTTGTATACATATAAATACGTATACATGCATGTATATATTTAAGAATTATTTGTGCTTAAATTCTGTATATATATATATATATATATAAATACATAATCTATATTATATAAATATAAATATTTTATTTATGAATAACACATTTTCTTCAATATATACATGCATGTGTGTGTACTCATATATACAAAATAATTATATACAGCACACACAAATATATTATGTAAACACAGACTTTTATTTTGGATGCGATTAATCGCAATTAATTTTTGCACAGCCCTAATAAAAAGGTTTATTCAACAATAATCACAATGATGTTGCATACCTCACTGCCTTAGATCAGTAGTTCTCAAACTTTTTCAGGTGGCAGACCATTTCAACAGTAAAACAAATATTGTGAAGCACCTACTGTAAGAACTAAGACTTTTAATAAATATTGAGATTTAATAGACTGCTACTTTTAGGTATTGAACCTAAATGAGCCGAATATTTTGCTAGCTAAGAAGTTGGATCGAATTGAATGAAAAACAGAAACATTTAATCCCAATTTCCAAATGAATGTTAACTCATTATTATTTGTTGATAAATTAGTTGATTCGTTCAATCTAGGGACTTTTTGTCTTCTAAAATTATTTTCGATATTTTCAGTAATGTTCAAAAGTTTGTAGTCAGGCAGCTTTTTATTATTTTTGAAAGAAAGGATTACTTAATTTATATAATAATACTCATATAATATTCAGCAAGGATACATTAAATTGGTCAAGACTTTTTTACAAAAAAAAAAAAATTGTTAAATGAATGCTGTTCAACAAAGAATACTGAAAAAATGTATCACGGTGCACAACTTTTTTTTCAACATTGAAATGTTTCTCGAGCAGCGATCATGTGACACTGAAGACTGGGGCAATGATGTTGAAAATTCAGCTTTGCCATCACAGGAATACATTACATTATTAAATCATTTAAAATTGTAATATAGTGCACAATTTTACTGTATTTTTTTATTTAAAAAAAAAAAAAAAAAAAAAAAAAAAAAGCAGCCTTGGTGAGTATCAAACTTTTTTCAAAAAATGTTTAAAAATCATTCCAACCATGAAATGTAATGGTTTATGTCCATTTTTAATCAATTCTCAGACCTAATGACCCATTGCATTCCTCTTTTCCAGCTCACATTGGTAATGGTTTTCATTAATGCACAATGGCCACTAGATGGAGTGCTAACACTTTACCAACATGATCATGCATCGAACACAGATTTGTTGAATCAGATGATTAGATCTGTGACAACACATGCACATGCTGATACTTCAGCTGAGCAGGTCTCAATCTTCTTCTGCACTTCAAAAGCTCTGGAACATGAGGGTGGATATGTTGAAAAAATACACTCTTCCTCTTTACCACTGCAGTCACACTGATCTCACTCAGACTCTGACATCTCAACTTGAATGACCACTCAGCACATCCATCTTGACAGCTCTCACCGCCTCTTTCTCCTTAACAAAACCTCCTCCACTCTCTCCATCTCGTCTGAGTCACACTGTTGTCTCCTGATGTGTAGGGTAGGGAGTTGTCCCGGGTGACCAAATGACCTTCATTAATTGTGGCAACTACCCATCCCTGCTGCTTCATGCTCTGTAACATATGACAATTTTGACTTGCTCTTCACCCCCTAGATGTTTGATTCATTCTGTATTAGCCATCCTAGCACATCCAACTCTGAATGTTATCTGCAATCCAGTCAACAGAGGCTTCTGTTATCTAACTTTTGGAGGCTTGGAAACAGTTAGGCTTAATGCCTCTTTATCTCCATTTCTATTGGTATTCTTAGAGGAAGTTCACACAGGGCATGTTTTTACATCCATCTGCAGCATTTTTTCCTTTTTTGGTTTGTGTACACATGCCTCTGACTAATTTGAAACATTTTAAGATATTCCGTCTGGTTTAAAATAGACCAATGCATTATTTTCCTTTCATATCAGCAACATCTAAATCTAAAGGGCCTTCACACCAAGAACGATAACTATATTAGCGTCCACACCAACGAACCATATCGTTCTGTTTATTATAAGTGCGCACTGACATTTTCGTCTGCCGCTTTAAATGCTTGAGCTCTTTAAAAGCAGGATAGATTCTGATTGGCTGTCAATGTTTTTATCGTTCAAATCATTAAAATGTATGTAATTGTTATAGTTGTGGTGTGTACTCAGCTATTCTTTTATATTTAGAATGATTTTTAGAACTATATAATTACCAAAACTCTGTTTAACATGTTCTCACTGATGCTATAGTTTAAGCCTTAGCAATGGCCTCGCAGCTAAATCAAGGCATATACAGTTATCACTCCTCCAACACACATTTACCTTTGCTCTATGAAAGTTCATGAGTGAAATGGGAATTTCAGTCATTTCATTGGGAATTAGTGCAATGAAGAATTGCCTAATGCAATGAGAAGCCTGATGACCTTTCGGTGGCAAAGAAATTTCCTAATCAACCAAAAGCAAGCCTCTTGGTTTGGGAGTGACCTGTGTTGGCCGAGATTTGTAAATTTGCAAAAAGCAAAGCTGAAGATCTACAATAGAAGAGGTGCTCCATTGTATTGTTATTATTTCCATATCACTCAATGTATTTTGTTACATCTAGTCAAGCTTTGACATTCTGATGTATGGAAGCTTGTTTCCGCCACTGAATAAAAACATTTTAAAAAATAATCATTGCGACTTTTTATCTCACAAATGTGAGATATGAAGTCAAAATTGTGAAAAATAAAGTCACAATTGTGAGATATAAAGTCGCAATTCTGAGAAATAAATTTGCAATTGCAAGAAAAGTCGCAATTATGAGAAATAGTCGCAATTGCGAGATATAGTCACAATTCTGATAAAGTCACATTTGCGAGATAGAAAGTTGCAATTCTGAGAAATAAAGTTGCAATTGCGAGATATGAAGTCGCAATTCTGAGAAATAAAGTCACAATTGCGAGATATGAAGTCGCAATCATGAGAAATAAAGTCGCAATTATGAGAAATAAAGTCGCAATTGTGAGATATAGTCACAATTATGAGAAATAGTTGCAATTGAGTGAAAAAAAGACAGAATTAAGACTTTTAACTCACAATTCTGATTTTATAACACATAATTGTGAGTTTATATTTCGAAATTCTGACATCTTTTCTCAGAATTGTGAGATATAAACTCACAATTGCGAGTTATCAGGCCAATTTTAAGGGAAAAAAAGTTTTCCCCTCAGAATAGTTTATATCTCACAATTCTGACTTTACAAAACGCAATTACGACTTAATATCATGCATTTCTGACTTTATATACCGCAATTTCGACTTTATATCAATCAATTCTGACTTTATATCTTGTAATTCTGACTTTATAACACGCAACTTCGATTTTATATCACGCAATTTTGACTTTATATCGCACAATTCTGACTTTATAACACGCAATTGCGAGTTTATATCACGCAATTCTGACTTTATATCTCACAATTCTGAGAAATAAAGTCAGAATTGCGAGATATAAACTCGCCATTGTGAGAAAAAAAAATCTGAATTGTGAGATAAAAAGTCGCAATTACCTTTTTTATTTTTCATTCTGAGGCAGAAACAAGCTTCTATATTGATGAGCAGCAGTGAATGTGACCAAACTTAATATGTCCCCAATTGTCACTCAATTGTACACATTTTCACTCTTTAGTACTCAGTTTCTACTATCTTGAGTAAAGGGAATGACAGTAATAGGCCTCACCGATGAAGGTCAAATATCCAAACAGGGCAGCCAGGAGGTACATGATGTACATGACCGCAATGGAGATGTTGGAGACATGTTGCATCTTTGTCTTTGTGGGGCTGAAATCAGAAAAATATAAGGATGTGACAAATAACACAGATAGACTAAGCACATTCCAACTCAAAATATCAGTTCATAAAGTGTATACAGTCAACACACACTTAAAAAATCTCTAAAGAGGTCGTAACACATAAATATTCATACTAATGTTCTATTTCTACTGATGTCTATTTATAAAATAATGTTGATCAAGCACATACTTGTATGTACTTGAAGGAACACTGTGGCATAATGTTGATTACCATAAGAAAATAATTTCTAGTAAAGTCAGTATTTTAATGTTTACAGATTGCCCCTTTTCACCAAGTGCCTCACTGTAATCCAGATGTTTGCTTTTTTATAGGAAAATGATGGAAAATAGTATGCCACTAGTGTTGTTGCTTGGGCTTAACTTGTATTGAACCTAATATTCCGTGTAATGTTTGTTTAAACATGATAATTCCAGACTGGTACACCACAGCTCTCCGAACAGCGAAGCAGATGGGTAGTGGTGCACAGCGCAATAACCTCCATATGCACACCGTGACTCATCTCTGATTCCAGAACTATGAAAGATCTTGCCACCTACTTGCGCAGCTCTGTGTAAATTGGCAGCACCTCGGGGTGGCACACGAACGCAAATGCCAGGATGGGAACCGTGTAGGCCGTCTAAAGAAAAAAATAAAAGACACAGACCGGACCACGTCACGTCACCATGGATACAACAGCAGCAACCATAAAACCCAAAGTCCACACTTTAAAGCCCATTAAACACCGTAGCGCATTTCAGAGAGCTAATTGTAGCTGCGATTAAGTCAGACTTGGACAGAGCTCAGGTCTGGACTCAATAAAAATGCTAGTCCTGTGCACATCGAGAAAGACTGAACTTAACACTCCTGACTACAGACTTTTACAAGCATCACTCTGTTGTGGGAAAACTGCACACGGCGATGTGCATGTGCGGAAAATGCATTGATGCTAGAGACATGAGGCCACATGCTGGAATAAATATGGGTACCGTCTTACAAAGTCTGTACTGAGCTAAGACTACATTGACAGAATTTTTATGTTGGTGAATGTTTATAATTTTTCTTTCCTGCAATTAGAGAGCAAAAGAGAGGTAGTAAAATGCCAGTTCTTTCCCATTTCTTCCCAATTTAGCAAACCACTCAGCAATAATCTTTACAACCACACTCCGTCAAAGGTTCCAAAATTCTTGTGCTTTAGAAATGTGAATATATTATCATAACATAAGCTGAAAATCCAGACTGATGCGCAAATAAGCCCACATATATGCGAGTCGTGCAACGGATTATTGGGAACTACAGAATGTGTAATTTGATTCCTCTTAAGTCTTATGTCACATGACTCAGCATTAGAGCCCAACCGATAAAGGATTTTGAAGACTGATACGGATACAAATATTTTTGGGTTTTAAAATCCGATATTCCGATATATCGGCCGATGTTTTATTTTTTTCAGAAACGCGCAACAAAACATTAACAGATTTCCCTACCATAGTTATTTGTAGTTATTTATGAGTTTTAACTAAAATAGTATGATAAAGTATTTTAAAAATAAACTTGTTTCTTTTATTGTCACAACAGAACAGAGGAACATCAAAATATATTAAAGTTCTGATAAATAAAATAATAATTAGTCTCTACATTGCCTTATAAGCTACCTTATAATTGCAATGTCAGCTTGCTTATCCCTTTACCTGCACTTTTTAAATTCTTTCCATCAAGCTACATCAAACCATTTTCAATCATCAGTTACGTTTGATACGTTTTCTCTATGTCTAAATGTTCACTCCTCGCAAGTCTAACTTACATTTTACAATTCAGGGACTGTAACTAGAGATATGCTAGTTATAAATACAGTAATCATTACTTTATTTAGGCAGAAAAAGTTCATTGTGGTTTCCAAGCTCATTAATGTTAACGTTAGCGGTCTTCCACTGATGATAGTGGCATTAGCTAGCTTTGTGGTTAGCCTATGATGAGCCATAATTTAGCAATAGATAACGTCATACTGCAAATTGTAAAACATACATTTTCAATATAACAGGCCAAGGAGAGATGATTGAAGCGTGTTTCATCCATCTTTATTTTGTTTTTGAAATATTCATTTATCGGCCATTATACTGCCGATACCGATAGTTTGAAAAATCCCTAATATCGGCCGATAATATCAGCCGGCCGATATATCGGTCTGGCTCTACTCAGCATGATTTGAATGAATGTCACAGCATGATTTCAGTACATTTGTATTCTAAGATACGCAATGACATACCTGTGAGTTCATGTTAAAGAGGTGAGGGGTGCAGCTAGGGTCACCCTCAGGGGTTATCTCCACTCCTCTCTGGTCAGACGCGATACTTGTGTTAAAGCCCACCAACGTCCTGTTATGGGAAAAGTCCTCAAAAGGACATTTCACCTGGAACTTCTTATAGATCACCTGGAGGCAGGGAAGAGATTCAGTAATTAAACAAGTCTCACATAGGTTGTGCTAATCTCACAATGAGTTTTTGAGGGTTCATATCTTTTCATGATTTTTCCCTTAGGGTCCACTTATCATCAGTCAAAAGTTTTCTTGACCATTTCAATCCCGCTTTCATGTAAAAGGGCTTTAAATATTATGTTTAATATGTCCCTTTTCAGGTGGTGGTTCAACTGTCTTTTTGTGGCACTTGTGCTCAACTTAAAGTTTTTTTTCCCTCCCCAAGTATGAGCTCCATATTGACTAATACTATACTATAGAAGCCAAAACCGCCCAATGCATCAAATATTATAAGCATTTTTTTTTTATTTTGTCTAAAGGCTTAAATAAACTGCTCCATTAAAAAAAAAAATAGACATATGTAAGTAAGTAAGAAACTAAGTAAGTAAACTTTATTGATAAAGCACTTTTCACAGACATGAAGGGTCACAAAGTGCTTCACAGTAAAAAACAAATAATAATACAAATAAAAACCACAACACACATTACATCAACACCATATAGCTAGTTAAAATAGGTCAGGCTTCACAGAGTTAAAACTTAAATTGTTGACATGTAAATGGCTGATGTATTTGTTTTTTTTCCAATGAGAAAAATCCAAGGATTAATCTGCTTAGTTTCAAAATATGGTGTTTTGAGTTCTGAAAATTACATTTACAAGTCACAAATTCATAAATTAAATTATTATTGTTCTATTTCATTTTAGCTTGCGGTTTCGCATGGTTTCTCATGATATGACCCCTTTAATCCTGAAAGGTACACTGCTTTATACTGTAATGTTATTAATCTGAGCCACATGACTAGCCGGACAAGAACGAGAGAATACTGGGGTGGCTCTGGCGCAATAATATCATTTGGTGCTTGTTCCGATCACAGCAGGTGCGATGAATTAAGTGAAGAAGAGAGAGGCAATGTTATCGTATTCAGACAGGACCATGGTGTAAAGACTAGACATGGATCCAGTGTGAAGATGTGGCACAGCCAATGCAACACGCTCACACTAGCATGAGGACAGAGAGAGTGAGAGCCGTGTGCACAGATTAAAGCTCCCCTCCGAAACTAGGTCAGTGAGGTGCACTGAACACAACCCCACTCTAAAAATACTAAACACTCTCACACATCACAAACTCATTCTGCTGGTGGAAAAGATGAGCAGATCCTAAAAACCCCAGCTTACTATGAGATTTATAAACTGCTAATTGGAACTGTGTCAAGATTAAATATAATTTTTCATGCTTCCAGCACATTATTCAGGAAGAAAGGTTAAAATAGCAGAGTACTGCTTCATGATGGGAATACTAAGCAGCACATGGCATCTGAATAAAACAGATTTAAAGGGATAGTTCACCCAAAAATGAAAATTACACCCATCATTTACTTGCACATGTTGTCAATAGTAAATACTGAGTAACTTAGATTTAAGACACAATATTGCCAGATAATGTCTTTTTCTGGTCTGCCAATAAAAACAGTTCCAAACAAAGCTTAATAGAATTAAACATAGTGTGTCTCTGAGCAACACATAGTGGTGGAGTTTCAAATGAATCAGTGTATTGAACGAATTGATTCAAATGGATGGAATGAATTGTTTGATGAATCACACATCTAAAACACAGACAGTGAGTCGGTCTGGAGCGAACAAAAAAAGCTGACTTAGTTATCCACGTTATTTTTCAACACTGAAACAAGCTGTTTTCTGGGAATGTGTAAGACTTACGAATTATTAGCCGCTAAAGGGAATTAAGAATAATGTCAAAGTACAGTAAAATTGAAAACCGTTTGTGCTACAAACCAGTGTGTTTATTATGAAGGTAGTAAGATTGCAAGCGTAAATAAAATGTGCATGTGCAAGAGAAGATTTGTCAATCGCCTTTCAAGTGTGTTCGTTATACGCAAGTGTAATTCATATATTGTGAAACTGCAGCTAGTACGCTAAGCAAAATAAGTATGATCTGTATTCTTCTGACTTCCACTTCCTTACACTTTTGGCATGTTTTCTTCGCACAAATACGGCCAAAAGCACTGAGAATTTTTTTAAATAATGATTAAAAAAAGTCCAAACCACTAGTCAATGGTTTATGTGTAGAACAAAATTAAGGGGGTAAGAGGGTAAGCAAAAAAAAAAAAACAATTTTCATTTTTTTTTTTTTTTTTTTAAAGGTCAGCAAACATACCGAAATAAGGAAGAAGACCATACAACTTAGAGAGAAACCGCTGGTGTAGCCCAGGTACCCTGAAACACACAGTGTGATGATGGAGGAGAGCCAGTGATAGTATACAGCAATTAACCACCACACTTACATGAGCAGTCTGACCAGATCACATCTAACCTTTAATTAAGATTCAATACTTTTCAATTCAATAAAACGTGAATAAGCATTTTACATTATGTGGTTGTGCAGAAAGGAAGTTAGAAAGGGGTGTGTGCAATCAGACATTAGAATTAGAAGTTTGAGAACACTTACCGAGCTGCTTCATTAAAGCTAGCGGCAAGATGACACTGCATGATACAATGACGACCAGGTAGTTTCCGTTTACAAACCACTCCCTGCCAAACAAATCAAAGAAGAAACACACAAAAAAAAAATTATAAAATGGATCACAGTTAACTTTCTTCTGAACATAATAACTTCTTGTGAATTTCCTTAAAAATAATAAAAATATGGTATATCTCATTGACGATGGAATGTTACAGCAATAAATATAAAGATTCATACCATTTTTAGATTATTTTTTTTTTCACTGTTAGAAGTTGTGACAGTCATGCAGCTTTTCATTTCCATCTTTATCTTTTTCTTACATAAATCAAAATTATATTTTATTTGATACATATATATTTAAGTTTATGTCAGATAAAAATGAGGGTCGGATATCATTCTTACCAGTGTTGTAAACTAAACTTAAAAACTGTTTTCGTTAATTGAAATAAAGTAAAAAAAACAAACAAAAAAACTTAAAGTGCAAACTGAACCAAACTGAAATGAATAAAAAAATTTACGCTAAATAAAAAATATTGGGAAAAACAACAAAAACTAATAAAAATGACAAATGAACCTGACAAAATGAACCAAAACTTTAACAAATATTAAAATGAAAACTAAAAAATATATATACAAAATAAAATAAAACATTCATAAATACTAATTCTATACACACAGCGGGCGGAGATTGCGCTACACCCACAGAAACAGGAACACAAAAACTTATCAACACTACCCCGCAACTTTAAGTAATAAAGTAGCTGAATCGCTATTGTATTTCTCCACAAGCCGTAACTGATGAAAATAACCGCCAGTTTTACCCTTCCGGTTAAATATTGTGCTGAATACATCAACAACAGCTTTAAGTTGTCAATGCTCGAGTGGAAAATGACCATGGTATAAGTGGGATAATCCATGGATAGCTATGCATTAAACGATTTTAATGCACGACGTGGAGGCAAAGAAAAGCCAAAAGTTTAATTAAATATACTTGTTTAATTAAAGGACACCAGAATACAGGAAATGACATCTACTCCAGTAAAAAAATCTAATTTTTTGCTGTATCCATTTTTGAAATCATATTGCTATTGCTGCTGTTTAATAAACACAACCAATGCTGTGTGATACAACGATTTTACTACGTTTAAAAGTTTTTTTTCAGGCCAAACACCACCAATTAATTATAATAAAATCATTGTATGGCTTCGAGTGGCCATTCATAATGAATATTGACCCATTTAACATTCCCCTTGTGCATTTGCAAATGGAGCAGCAGTTCTCTTGTTAACCTAATGCATTACATTTCCATGCTATTACAGTAAAAGAGCGCTTTACTACAGTATGTTCGTTAAATGGCTTAAGGTAAAAAGCATAAATCACATTACTGAACAACACCAGGACTGGGAGGTGGTGTTTATTTTTGGGGTGTGATCAATGCCCTCTCCAAATGTGTTGCGATGTGTGACTGAGTGTCTATTTGGATCCGGAAACTTGTGCTCCGACTATCACAGGCCAGTTTAGAGGGGAAATCCTCTCCCTATCTAACTCATCCCTAAAGCTGCTAATCTTGTTATTCTGCCCTTTATTAAGACCAAAATCATGGCATCTCTCAAAGAAGCTTTGAACGACAAAGACTGAGAGACTTCTCATGGACGGCCTGTGCCCTGGCCAGAAATTCAGCTAGATTTAAGACAACAGAGCGACTCTATAAAAGCCAAGGATGTTCAATGAACTGTGAATTTTATTAAGTGGAGACGTTGCGGTCTCAGTGAGGTGAATGGTGGTACATTAAGAGCTGAGAGCTGGTCAACAGCGCTAAAGCAAACTTATCCCGAGAGGTCGAGCTACATTGGAGGTAATGGTGCTTGACCCTTGTACGGATTGGCTCAGGATCCGTGTGTGTGATGTTTCACATGAACAGTAGTGTGAGTCAGCAATTTAAAGGCATGCCAACACTCGTCTGAATAAACTGTGAGTTACTTGCCCTCAACTGTTTTCTCCTCACCCACCCACCCCTCCATGTCTAGTCTGGATGAGGACATGTCTGGGTGTAGAATGAATGGGGCACATTAAAAAGCATGTTTTTAACCAACTTTGTTACCAGAGTGACTCAAAATACAGTGTACAAATTGTGGTCTTTCCAAATAGCAAGACAGGAAAAGAAGAAAATAACCACTTTCACAAATGCAACAGATGTCCATATTGTATCTGCACTGCTGTCATTCACATATCAGAACCAAAAAGACATGTGTTGCAATCTCTTACTTGAATATCTAACCATTCCAGCATCATGTCGACTAATTTGCTTGGATGAAAAGCTAATTTATTTCAGCATTTAATTTGATTATAATTTTTTTTTCATTCAAAATTTTAGGGTGAGCAATTTTTTTTTCACCAAGGATGCATTAAATGGATCTAAAGTGACAGCAAAAATATTGTAAAAAGCTATCAGTTGACTTAACTTAATAATTTAAAAGTAAAGCCATGCATGTGGAGTTGTCAGGTTCACACAACTTCATTTTTTTCAATTTAAGGCAACAAGTTTCCTCACTTTTTTTAAGTTAAGTCAACTGATCACTTTTTACAGTGTTACAAAAGATTTCTATTCTTTCCATTTTGTTTATCAAGCTTATTAATAATATGAAATGTTTCTTGAGCATCAAATCAGCATGTTGGGAATCATTTCTGAAGGAGCATGTGACAGTTCACGCAGCATAGGTGAGACTTCTTTAAAAAAAAAAAAAAGAAATAAAATAAAACAGTTTTTTGACCAAGTTTGTCTTGCTGGGCTAATGAGTGACACCAAGATACACATAAGTAAAAGTTAAATGAAATATGTATGCAATGATTAAGCTCCTTTCATAAAACTTTCCTGCTAGTTTTAATTAACAAAAATAGTCACGCACGTAGATTCATGTGCACTACCTGCTAAAACTGAAATGAACAGTCACTGTTTACAGCATTGTGATCCTCCTCGCTCGCCTGGAGAGGTGAGGAATTCAAATGAGGCATCCAAAGGTCGTTTCTGGTGTCCTCCAGAGTGTGTGCACAAGCCTTCTGTCAGGCCGAACTCCAGTCATCGCATCTGCAGCCAGCTTGCGTCACACGGACCGTCACACACTCATTCACACACATTTCCTTGGCTGGGCGAGTGAGTATTAGTCAGGAAAGATCTGACCTTCACATGCATACATGCATACAAACCTCTTCTCACCAAATCTAGTCCATCTATCACAGTTCTCCTCTTACACTCTCACACACAATTATACCAAATGACTCAAAAATCCTAAGGGACCTATTGATCAGACAGAAGCTGCGCAGCTCACACAAATTCACAAATTGGCAGTAATCATTACGAGGGGCAAAACTCATTACGATGTGGTTGCTACTGTAGTGTTAACGGCCTCACAGGCTGGTTTTGACAAAAAGGACAAGAAATGCCATTGAAAGAGGGGCTTTTACAGACTCGACTAATCAAACAACACCTTTTCCTTTTGGCCTTTAGTGTAGACCTTCCCACACACTGGTTTCTTTCATTCTTTCTCTTACTATCTTATCGTGGAACACATTTTTAAAAAAGCATGACGTTTTTTGCTGTCGCGTCTAGTCTATATCAATAAGCACTGTTTCTGAACTCCCTAAAACGCCTTGATTGTAGTATTGTGTTTTCTTCTGGGAACGTACGTCACAATTTTCCTGATTCAAGACATTAGTAAAAAAGCGGGGGCAAGGCCTGTTTGATTTGCATTTGTAGTTTGTCGACACTTGCTATTAAGGTAAGGGACATGACATTTCCGAAACATGCTTGAAGCAGTTGACCAATTATACACAGTCGGAGCAAATTGCCCTTTCCGAAAAGAGGGGCTTCCTAGAGACAGGAACTAAACAGAGCATTACTTACAGATAAGGAAGGGAGGAGCTGCAACATTTGTAGGGGATTTTTTAAAATATGTGAAAAATGCAAATGTTTTTTTGAACATTCAAGCATGAAACCCTATTCTAGTAGACCGTAAAACAATATCAACACTGTAAAAGGCATAATATGGCCTCTTAAAAATTAAGAATCCAAAATCAGGTTTTCCCAGAGAACCTTTCTGGGTTCCCCAAGGAGGTTCCTTAAGAAAAAAAAAAAGGTTATTTTATAGTGAAAAGTTCTTAAAATAACCTTTTTTTCTTAGTTTGAAGAATATTTTATAGTAATAATCTAAAGAATTATAAAGTGGAAAGGGTCATTGATGTTAAAAGGTCTTTATTGAACCCTTGATGCCAAGTGTATGGGATAAATAAAATGTATATGAAATAAAGAAAAGTCTTATCTCTTGTCTTGAAAACTGACTTTTAAAGACAAACAGTTTGAGATATTGTTGAGACTGTAAGACCTTTTTTGAATAGTTGGATAAGTTACTGGGTCTTTTTCTTAAGAGAAACATTTGAAGCAGGAGACTGCTTTTGGTTTCCCTTTTGTCTACAATTAGAGGAATTAAACAGATCTCATGTTTTATTTGACTTTCTAGCGAGTGCTTCTGTGTGCTGATACCCTAACATGCTTGAAACGGGTCACGTGGTAATCTAGAGTCCTGATGTGGCCAATAAACAGTGGAAAAAAACAAGATGTTTTTGTGTTGCTTTCGGAGAACTAAAAAACAACTTTAAATACACACACACAGATGTGTACTCACCCTGATGTACTGTCCACTTTGAGAAAAGCCTGGATAACCAGTGGAAACTCGTACTTCACTATGTATAAGTAGCTGGACATGGCTATGAGAGGAGAGAAAGAGAGATGATGGATGTGAGATTCATTCACAGACACACACATACAGTAAACACCCTAATCCAGGACGTATTTGTACTCCAGGGGATTATGGTTATTATCCTGGAAGCAAATGTCACAGTAAAGAAGAGAATCACTTCTATATTTAGTTACTATAAACATGCACCAAACAGCAACCAGCTTAGGGTCTTTTTCCACTATACTGTAGTAGATCAAATCACAGTTAAAATGACAAAGCTCTCTAAAAACTATTGACGGGAATGCACAGCTTTTTTTTAAAGAAAAATACATTAAAAAAAGAAGAAATGATAATGTTTTACAATAGGCAGGATTTTATGAAAAAAATTATGCTGAAAATAATCTGTGTGCCCTAGGAGATGGACCATAATAATGATATATAGTTGGAATAGGGTACAGCTTTCGAAAATGAGGACAACATGGAGGAAAGGTTACAATGAGATTGAAGGAATAAAAACAATAACAGAGTGATGACCTGGAATGTAAATGGGAAATGAATGACAAGGCTATCTATCTACGTCCAGTCACTCTCTCTGCAGAACTGTGCTGTGCCCTTGACAGGTTCACAAAGCAATACATTGTGTCTCCCGAGACTTTGGACAGCGTCTCACCTCCAATGTTCTGCAGGGTGATTGCAATCCCGGCAGCCATCTTGCCTGGTGTGCCGAATGCTCGGAAGCCCAGTTGTTCATAAGCTCTAATGCCTGACAACAAAGCACAAATAGATTTTTTTGCTATTAATATACAACAATATAGTAAAAAACACTAATCTCCCACCAAAAAAAAAAAAAAAAAAAAAACATTTCCACAAATAATAACAATAGTAATGTAGTCCAAGTAATATAGTTCTGATTATGTAATTTAAATTGATTCATTATAAAATGTTTTACTTTATTGGATTTCCAATTCATCATCCTTGGAAAAAAACCTTACACTATCATCAAGCAATGTGTTTTTCATGGTATATGTAAGGTTTGTCAGTTTTAAAGGTAACCATGTGGTTGACATGGGTTTGGGGCGTCAATGTAACCATGGGCATATAGCTGATATAGCACTGACAATGACAGCCACAATTGATCAAGCACAGCAGACGCTCGGCTATTTTTAGCCTAATGCACACCAGAAATATTCTTGCCAATTAAAATCTCTCACTGAGGAATGAGGCAGATGGTCACTGAGCCAACAGTGAAACCAATGTCACATCAGTTAATGCCTCTATCTAAACCGGCTCTTCATTTGAGAACTCAAGAACGGTTTCTTTTCCATTTAACAATCTTAACTACAGAAGAGAGTTTAAACTGGTCTCAGGTCAGCGTAATGAAATACTCACCCACAATGCCTGAAGATTTTAGCAGCAGGTGAATGGAGTATGAAGACAGGCCAGCAACAGCAGTGAGAAGAATTCTGAAAGACAGAAAAGATTAAATAAATGCTATTGGAACCAAATGTCACTTTCATGCCCCATTGTGACAATGTGATATACTTAAACGGCCTATGGTTCAAAAACATTCTGCGTCCAACTGAAAGGTAGTAGGATCAAACCATACATGTGGTAATCCAACATCCAATCACAAATATTTTATTTACAAGATATTAAATATATCTGTGACAATAGAGAGCCTAAGTCCCTCCCCTTCCGGTCGACCACCATGGGACCTTATTTCGGAAAAATATTGTATGGTAGTCAATGGCGAGAGACAACAAATATTTTGATCTCATTTGAATTGTGCCCTGAATTACACATATGATGTTTGTCAATTTAAAAGATACATTTTAAAGTAAAGAAAGTCGCAGTTTGATGTAAAACCGTTGAGGTATAAGACTGTGAAAATACGTAATTACAAAGACTACAAACCCCAAAGGCGCACATTTTCTCTCAATAAATGAAGCTAACTTTACTGAGGCTATTGTCTGTCATTGTTTCTACTGTATAGTCTAATGTTATAATTGTAACCATACGCCGTAATACCAGAGTGTTTTGTACCAGACTGAACACACACGAGCAGCGGATCTCACTCGTTTCGCTTCCCGGGAGATGTAGTTCATAGAGCGATTTTCACATAAAACTAAATGTTACTCTTTGACTTTTGCGACGTTTTTGACTTCCAGAATTATCTTTTAAATTGACAAACATCATATGTGTAATTGAGGGCACAGTTCAGACGGAATAAACAGATAAGTTGTCTCTCGCCATTGAGTACCAGTCATATTTTTTTCCGAAATAAGGTCCCATGAGCCGGAAGCGGAGGGGCGGGACTTAGGCTCTCTAATAGATTAGATTCAGATTTTCCATTTTTTCATTGTATATCTAAATCATTTATACATATGTTAGATTTATGATTATTATTATATAAAATATAGAACATTAAATAGTTACAGGATTAATGCTAAGAGGTTCTAGCCTCAGTAAGGTGGAAAAATACTAGACAGTGTAATCACAGGCAAGATTGCACATAAATGCAACGGCACCCTCCAGCTGTCAACATCTGGACAAACATCTCAAGCTGTGAAACCGAAACACGCTCTACTGACTCTTTTTCTTTCTTGCATAAAAATGCCCTGTTTAGTCCCTTTTCCTAGTTCCAGAATGTCTTGGCATCTCTACGGACCAGGCCTAACCACTCTCTGCCAAGCACTCGGTTTCAACTCTGCACTTTCTCACGTTTTCCCTTGTCCTTCTTTTTTCCAAATGACGTGGCTGAACTGCAGAAGTCAACGAGTTCAGGTCTGCTGAAAACGCTGTTGCCTTGACTCACACGAGCTCTGAAACAGATATTCAGCTCTGAATAACATTCCAGTCATATATAAGTAGAACAATTGGTTTATCTAATCACTCACGTTTAATAACAAAATACGCTGGAGTTGGCAGCATTACGAGTTGAAAGATCTGCTGAAACTGAGACAGAACCTGTGATTTGTTCACCAGCTGCAGTGTGTTAATAGATGCAGCTGGCTTGAATGAGGACAGTATGCAATCAGTTCAGCATCTGATCAACTTCTTTAGCAACTGATTGTGATGAAATATTTGATATTATCCAAGCTCCAACTTCTTAATGTAGCCTGTTAAGTGCACAGAAGCATGGAATAAATCAATCTATCTACAATATTTGTGACTTCTATATATCCTTGTTTATTAAAAATATCTAAAATGTAAATATTTATATATGATATAGCATTCAAAAGTTGGATTTTGAAAAATTTCCTTTTGCCTGCCCAGGCAGCATTTATTTGATCAAAAATAGTCTAAATACTCAAATATTATTATTTATTACTTATTATTTTAGATAACCGTTTTCTATTTTAATACACTGTAGTTTAAAATGTAATTAGTAGTTTAAAATGTAGTAGTTTAAAATGTAATTAATCCTCTTGGAATTGCTCCTTTTATTATTTATTCCTGACGCAAACATGAAATTTCAGCATCATTACTCCAGTCTTCAGTGTCACATGATCATTCAATCCTTCAGAAATCATTCTAAAATGCTAATAACAGTATATAATAATAATCATCATCATCATCTTATTATTATCAATGGATAATAAAATAAATGAAATAATGATAACCGGGATTCATTTTTTCTGGATTCTTTGATAAATAGAAAAAAACAGCATTTATTTTGAAATAGAAATATTTTATAACATTATAAAAGTCATTACTGTCAATTTTGATCAATTTAATGGGCCTTTGATGGATAAATTAAAAATATGAATTACTTTCAAAAACTTACTGACCTCAAACTTTTGAACAGTAGTGCAGTTAAAACATTACAGTATATATTAATATAAAATGATCATATACTATTTTTTTTCTTATTTTCTGTTGATTCATTTCAGCATAGAATGAAATGTATTAATACTCAGCATTTCTCTCAACCTCTAAAATCTGCCATATTAGGTGATTGTGTCACCTTGATTTTTTCAGTGAGCTCACCACTAGAGAGTTAAGTCTGAGATTGAGACCAGTCTCGAGTGACACTATGCTAGAACGCCTCGTTAGAACCTAAAGACAAATTACTATTAATTTAGTATCTTACACAATTTATTCTGGAGCATCTGGACGTGTTTTTCCATTTATTGAAGAACTTCATCCAAGTGGCTTCATCAGTTTTTAAATAGATGTAAAAACACCTCTTCAGCAAATGGAGGAAGAAGTGGGTGAAATCCAAAATTACAAATTATTTTAATGGAGAAAGAATTTATGAACATTTAATCCAGCCTGGTCCTACAGAAAATCATCATATCAGAAATTCCATTAATTTTTTTCATTCCATTCAACTTCTTTGTATGACACAATTCGATTTAATGCGGGAGCAGTTCTGATCACGGTCTTAAACTAAACAGAATTAAATTAGTGCTGCTGTCGGATAAGGGGGCGTGTGTTCGGTTAAATACTGCGGGTGAGGTTTACCAAACAAGACCCGTGCAGGACTTTACATTTCATTTACATAATAAAATATTCCCAAATGTTTTTTCCTAAAAAAAAAAAAATAAATAATAGCAAAAAGAAGCAAATTAGATATTGAGATCATTTTTTTTTTAAGTAGATCTATAAAAGTGAAAGTCTTTTGGTATCACTCAATAAATTACTGAAATCTCTCACTTTTGATTGGTGATTTTGGTTTCTGATGATAATATGATGAAATCTTTTGCGAAACTAGAGATGAGACAAATTGACTGTGGTCTTTTTCTCAGGAGAGAAATCTGAGCATGAGTCACTCCTATCTAGAAGAAAATAAGGAAAGGAACTCCACACACTGTTCTGTGATGTTGGGATATTAAAGAGACATCCTTGTTTTGTGATGTTGTGTACTTCTGGGAGATCCACTCTCGCCTCTAAGGAACTGCTGCTGAGATTCAAAGTGACAGAGCCAAACCAAGCCTGAAGTCAAACCACAGCTTTTACAGGTCAAACCCAACACAACATTTACATTTCAGAATCTGTCCTTCATACACCTATATATACACCTAACGACAATGCATTACAGTATGAGAGTATATTTCCATAACAAGGTCTATAGTATTCCATAAGCCTTATGAATTCATCCACAAGAGCTGCAGTATTTTTGAAAGCAATATTAGTCCCGTTTAATTAAATTGTGTCTGGGATTGATTTATGTGTAGCCTCAAGCCACAATCAGCAGTGGAGAAACACGGTTCTCAGATCAGACAGGTACCACATGCACAGAAATCGAGAGTACGGCAAGTTTAAGAGTGCAAGTTTATCGCAGAACCCAGTCACACCGAACAGCTCAAACCCAAAGCCCTTTCAGAAAAAAAAGAAGAAAAAAAATCCTCTGTACATTGCTTAACCCAGATTAAAAGGCCAGACTGGTTTTCATAAAGCACGCACAGCCCATGTTAAGTAGCACATATCATTAGATCATTCTCTTTGTTAACAAATGCCTGGAGTGAATGCAGAACTCCCGTGCAACACAAGTTTCCTGGTGCAGCCCGCTCAGCTCTACTGATTGACCTACTGGTCAGTCAGACTCAGGACACAAATCTCCCCGGCAATCTGACTTTACTAATAAAGGCTGCTTTACAGGAGGATTAATACAGCAGGGGAACCTGTGCAGAGAACGGGACTTAACCCAGATCATGACAATTAACAAACTTTAGGCAAGCTGTGATGTTTACACGGCATAAGAACTGAAGCAAGATTTGAGAAAAACCCTATGAAAAGCTAGAGAGATTAGCCAATGAGCTTGAACATGATGTTTATATTACATGAACAATTGTTAGCGAATGTGCAAGAGTTAATGCATGAGATAATCCAGGAACAGAACTATAAAGTGTCTGCTTCCACTGTCTCATAAGAGTCTGAACTAAACAGGTCTGTAACATTTAACCTAATATCTTCCATAGAAAATCCCATCGATTTACAGAACTGTTCAAATGCTTGGGGTCGCTATGTTTTTTATAGCCTTGAAAGAAATCTCTCGAGCATTTATTTGATCAAAAATACATTGAAACAGTAATATTGTGAAATATTATTACAAGTTGAAATATTTGTTTTCTATTTTAATATAATTAAAATTTCATTATTTCTGAGCTGGTAAAGCTGAATTTTCCGCATCATTACTCCAGTCTTCAGTGTCAGTGATCCTTCATTCTGTAAGTCTGATTTGATTTGCAAGATCCATTTCGGTCCCACTTTATATTAAGTGGCTTTAAGTACTATGTACCTACATTGAAATTAATAATTTGATACAATGGACTTATTGTGTACATGCATGTTTTTACATTGTACTTATATTTTAAAAATACCAGCATGTAATTACAGCTGTAATTAATTTATGCAATTACATTTGTAATTACATAGTTGACCCATCCCTCACACTTTAACCTACCCTTAAACAGACCCATACCACCACACCTGTCCCTAAACTTACCCGTATAATACCTCAATAGCAGCAAAAGTGTTTTACAACACAACAGGACCACAATAATACATTGTACTTATTTTTCGATGCAAGTACATAGTACTTAAAGCCACTATCAAAACTGAATACAGTTGTACTTAATATTTTTGTGCAGTGATACAATGTTGTTAGGATTCTTTAATAGAAAGTTCAAAAGAACATAATTTATTTAGAAATCTTTAGAAATCATCAATGTTTCCATGAAGAACCTTTAACATATACATGGAACGTTTCCAGTGCACAAAATATTTTTTTATAGTGTGAAAAGGTTCTTTAAGTTATGTTTATTACACTTAAAAAAATGTGTCTTTTGAGGAACTTTTCAGTAAAACTCTGTTCTACTGCATCACTGTGAAACCCCCTTTAGGAACCTTTATTTTTAATAGTATAAAAAAAATGTAACAATAATAAAAGATAATTTATTACGACTTCTGACTTTTTTAAGTTTCCTGTGACGCATCAAATGCACAAGTATCATATTAATTCTAGCTCAAAATGAATGATCTGATCTCCATTAAAGAACTCCAGGGGAGACACGCTGAAATTTTGGGCGCTGCGGCATATTATAAATACTTTTTCAGTGTGAGAAATACAATGTGTGGCGGGAGTGCGCGACAAAAGACCAAAATAAATGACTGTCATGCTCACGCCCTGCAAATGACTGAGCCATCTGACCAATAAGAGAGCAGAGTAGGCTCTCAGAAAGGAAGGGTTTAGAAAGGCTGAATCCTTTACAGAACAGTTTTGGACACTCTGAGAAAAGGGCTGATTCTGCAATGATTATTATGAGATTTAAAGTGTTTTTGTTTGTTTTTTTTTTTACCTTGGATGCATGGAAACCAATTGTAAAACACCCCCAAAACAAAACAAGGAACCTTTAAAAAAAGCACTTTAAGTAATTACCCAAAATCTGAATACAGAGTTTGACCTAAAACTGTTACTCACATAAAGAGGACAATGCCCGTGTTAGCCATGGCGTATGCTAATCCCAGAATTCCACTTCCCATGATGGCGTTTCCCAAGTTGAAGACGGACATCCCAAAAGAAGTCTTTCCCTCAAACTAAACAAGAAGAAAAACAGAGCAGTTAGCCCACACATTCACATTTGAGACACTTCACAACATTATGGTCTCATACATTAAATCTTACCAAAAGTTCAACTTACATCCGTGAAGCGAGGGGTTTTCTTGTCATCTACATTGGACAGAAACTCTGAGCTTTCTGGCAGGTTTGCCTCTGCATTACCTGGCGTTTTGTCAGTACTAAAAACACATATAACAGCCATTAAGGGTTGGCAGTGCATCAACAGAAAGAGTGAACACCACCACCAAAACAGTAACTGAGGGTGGGTGCTTTAATTATAGCTGCAGAAACTACAAAAACTTTAGTCTGCAACAATTCTGCTCTCTGCATGACATACCTGACATTTTCTGTGCTATTTGGTACAAGTTCCCTAAAAAGCAGTGTAGGAGCCGCATCCACGAAAGCACAAGAGACAAGGAAATTATGATGAACACATCCTTAGTTAAACACACTGATGAAGGTATGTAGCCACAGTCAGGGGGAAGTGATGTCTAGCTGAGAAATTTTTCATTTGCTTAGGGTGAAGGTGGGCAGTTCTTCTACATGCAGGGTGATTTTATTTTGCATATAAAATTATATATAGGTGTTTCTTCAACTATGGGCCCTTTTTACCTCAAAAGACACTTTTTGCATTCTCACTAGTCATTTATTACTAATAGCAAAGTGTTCTCTCATTTCTTTCTAAAACAAAACATTTGATTTCCACCATATCTCACACTACTATGTTTTTGCATTTGACAACATTCAGTGGTTGATGTAGGCTGGTTAAAACCAGACCATCTCAGTTTGTAACGGAGTTAAATTTGCCGGAAGTTGTCTGGGTTTTCCCAGACTATGGTTGACGACATTTTTTTAAACATTTATAATGTTAAATTGCAGACTCCTTGGTCTTCCTAAGGCAAATTTCATAGCATCTTATGCATCTTAAACGCACGAAATTATACTGTAACTCATTTCTCAAAATCTAACACAATTTCAGCTAAACTGGAAATGACACACAATAGGGAAAACAAGTGATGTTTACCTTGGTTTACCATCTCAGGCATGCTCTTCTTTGTTAGCAAGTACTGTATTGGCCGCACTAGCAGCCACACATGGAAACTTCAACTCACGGTGGTAACTTTCATTTGTTTTGAGCACATTACATATAGTACAAATTATATAAGTGGACACATACACATACTTTAGTTTTAAAAACAGTTTTATTAGTTATTTGACTTGGTTTTCTGTTTGGGTGCACACATTTAGTTAACTTTGTCAACTTAGCTAATTTCTGGTTGAATTTCTTCAAGTTGCGTTCTGTGAAGTTAATACCTTTTCTTTTTGAGTTACCAGTTCCTGGGGAGTCGCTGTTGGGGGTCTCCGGCTGGGTGACAGGCAAAAGGATTTGCAACTGACTCTCAGCTGTTTAAGTAGGGGAATGGCTAATTGGACTGCACTATGTATTCCCATTTCATGGGGGTGGCAGAGTATTACATTTTTGAGTTTTGTTCTTTTTCTTTGCTATTTATACTTTGTTATGATTTATTTGATTGATTTGTCCTTAATTCATATAAAGTAGTGTTGGTTTGACATGTGTTGTAATTATTGTGGATTGTTTATATGTTATGTGTTTGTCTCCCCCCTTTTGTGTCAGAATGGCCTGATCAGCCACTATATAGACCATTTCACAAGATGTAAACAACACTGGTCCAGAAGCACCTCCTGTTTCAGTTTGTAACTGGGTTCTTTATTTCACATGTAAAGAAAACATCTTAAAGATGTTTGTTTAACTTTTTGATTCAGTTTTAAATGTTCTGTTGGTTGTATTTTATCCCAGCTTTTATGTAGTATTAAAAAACTGAAACAGGAAGTGCTTCTGGACCAGTGTTGTTTACATCTTGTGAAATGGTCTATAAGTTTCCCCATGTTTCAGTTTAGCTAGGTCTGTTTTTTTGTTTTGTTTTTTTTATATATAGTAAGTTGACCTCTTTTATGGGCCCAGAACTTTCTGTTTTTTGTGATATAGTTATTTTTGTTGTTATTTTGGAAATAAAAACTTTTATTTTTGAAAATATACTTTTTGACTCCTCATGCCTGCCAGCTTGGTCCCTCACAGTACATTAAGTAATGAAACTTTATTAGTGGCCAAAATTTTGCTATATTTGAAATGATGCAACAACTGAGGAACAGCTTTGCTTTGTGTAAACAAAAAACTGTAAATAAAAGTATTTTAATCTGTAGATCATCGAGAGTAATAGTTAATAGTGATGCACCAATTTTTTTTAATACCAAAAAAGTACTGGATGATAGGGACACTAAAAAATAATGTGAAGTTTTGTTCATGCATCAACTGAAAATTGTATAGACTAAAAGATAAAAATAATCACAGACAGTTCATTAAAATGAAAAATCGATATTGTCAATCCAGACCTACCATCCACACAGCTCATGTTTACCTGTTCAAAACGTGCCATCGGATAAGCGCTAATTAAACGTCACCGTAAAGTTCAATGAATTTGACCCTCCAAATCTGCTTTTTATTCAGCATCAGCAACCAAATATTTTTGTCGATTTTGGAATAATTTCAGTACGTCACTAGTTGTTTTTCAGTTTGTAGATTGAATGTCTGGGTCTTAAAAAAATCTATAGTCGTCACATAAAAAGTTCCTGTAGTTTAAGAAACACCCATATACATTAGTTTGCATAAACATCTACACATGAACAACAACACAATCACATTGAACATAGTTATATAGAAAGAGCATAACATCAGTGCTACTGAATGTGCCCAGTGATGTCTGAACTGTGCTGTTCAGTGACATTTAGGACTGTGATGACAGACAAGCTTCACCTTATTAGGATGACATGACTGGATGATACTGCAAAAACACACACTAATGTTCATAAATACTGGATATATGCACTAACATAAGGCACCCCATAAATACATTTTATTCCATAATCTTAACAACTACTAAATGATAAAGCTTATACCAACCGAAACTGTATTACTAAAACTGAACACATTGGATGACTGACAATAAACCATCCTGAACTAGACAGACACTAAAGTGCACCCTTGAGCGCATACTTACTGAGCAGCATCTTCTGATTGGCTTTTTAATGCAGTCACAGTTGTCTCTTCACCAGCTTCGTGCCCCTTTCCATTGGGGATAGAGTTCATCTCGGCAGGCTCCATGCTTTCAGAACGATTATTCTCGGTCTTCAAGTGTGCGTGTGTGAGAGAGAAAGATCTATAGAGAAACTGTCTGTCCCTTGTTTCCCTATAAGGATGTAAAAAAAAAACAACAACAGTATATATTAATCCTGGCTTAAAGGAGATGTGTTCATCTGTCTAAAATGGAGCAGTGAAGGTACGTATTATGTAAGGCATTGAAATAGGAAAGTACTGTGAGCCTCAAGGCCCGAAACACACTCATACGCAAGTCTACACAAACTCAATTTCACATGTTGATGCTTTCCAAAATTTTTGAGAATTTAACGTCTGCATTAAAAGGACATTGATATAATAGAAAAAAAAATAAACAGAATGAGAACATGGATCCATCATGCCTTGTTAGCACTGTGCAGGCTGGTGGTGGTGGTGTAATGGTGCGAGGGATGTTTTCTTGGGACACTTTAGGCCCCTTAGTGCCAATTGGTCATCGTTTAAATGCCACGGCCTACCTGCTGACCTTGTCCGTCCCTTTATGGCCACCATGTACCCATCCTCTGATGGCTACTTCCAGCAGGATAATGCACCATGTCACAAAGCTCGAATGATTTCAAATTGGTTTCTTGAACCTGACAATGAGTTCACTGTACTAAAATGGCCTCCACAGTCACCAGATCTCAACCCAATAGAGCATCTTTGGGATGTGGTGGAACGGGAGCTTCGTGCTCTGGATGTGCATCCCACAAATCTCCATCAGCTGCAAAATGTAAGGCAGCACTTGATTTTGTCGATCAGTAATTGACTGGATCAGTGGATTGCTAATTGCTACGATCTCATGTGAGTGACAGGTTGCTGTTGGTAATGGAGAGGTTATTGTCCCGTCCTCACGTCATCAGAGAAGAAATGTCATTGCGAGGATAAGAAGGTAATGTGATGATGTACATAGATAAATTATTTATAACAAACACCACAATAGTCTTTGAATAAAATAAGAAATGTCTATTTGAATTTCATGCTGACTTTAAGCTCAAGTAGGGATGGGCAACGATTAATCGCGATTAATCGCGTCCAAAATAAAAGTTTGTGTTTACATGATATATGTGTGTGTGGTGTGTATAATTATTTTGTATATATAAATACTAACACATGCATGTATACATTTAAGAAAAATGTGTTCTTAATATATCAAATATTTATATTTATACATAATATTAATTATGTATAAATATATATATAAAGTATATACATGCAAATATTTCTTAAATATATACATGCATGTGTGTGTATTTATATATACAAAATAATTATACACACCTCACACACATACATTACGTAAACACAAACTTTTATTTTGGATGCGATTAATCGCGATTAATCGTTGCCCATCCTTAAGCTCAAGCATGAGTTGCATTCTTCTCAGCGTTGCCAACAGAAAATCAGTATCCCTAGAAACACTTGAAGAGTTCAGATGCAAAAGCCTCTAAGTGCCATTTGAAATTTTCTTCTAAAATGATCATTTTTATCAAGCTTGTATATTTAAGTTCAGTAATTTCACTTAAATGGCAATGAAGATTACCTATTAATTGTCATTTAAGTGAAATTACTGAACTTAAATATACAAGTTTGATAAAAATGGTCATTTTAGAAGAAAATTTCAAATGGCATTTAGAGGCTTTTGCATCTGAACTCTTCACTTGTAGAAAGCCAAATAGTTCATCATAACACTGTAATATCATATACATAATTCAACCCGCTATGTTGCTAAATATAAAAACTGGGATAGCTGTCTTTTCTTGAGACTCCCTGGCTTCGCAGCATGATATAAATTATACTAAAGCCTGCCGGCACGTTGACATGGTTCAAGGTTCAAGGATCAAGGTTCAAGGTTCAATTTATTTATAAAGCACATATTAATACAACAGGAGTTGACAAAAGTGCTGTACATAAGATAAAATAAAATAAACTGTACATAACATGCCGTACAGAGGATAAAAAAAATCAGTGAATCACAGGCAGTTAAATTCTACGCCTTTCTATGGACATCTCAACCTCTCAATAAAAAACAATTACACCAATACGTACTCATCGTCATCGCCAATCAGGTTATGGATAAATTGAATAATCACGAACAAATTATGGACACACCATGGACAAATTTTACGCATTTCCATGACCTATTTCCAAAAACCTTACATCAATACATACTCATGGACAGTCAAATGCTAATGCATAGTAAGTTTTTAAGTGACCTTTAAACTCTATTTTTTCTTTATTTTTTTCTCTGCAGTTTTAAGGAGAAAAAACTAAGCAATGGTGTTGACTTATGACTTTGCACATGGTTTGCCTTTAAGCACATTCAAAACACCACATAACTCTAAAATCTTGAATTTCACCACAGGGGGTCTTTAAAATCAAATTAAAATGCTCGAATAGGCCTAATGGACAGACAGAACTTCCTCTATCAGTTGTTTTTCTTCCTTCTTGCATGACAAAACGGCTCCATCAAATCTCTGCCACTGCCAAATTAACTTTGCAAAACAGTCGGTAACCTTTAGCACCGATACGGTAAAACTGAATAAGTCGTCACTTTCCTGACTCTACTTGTTCTGTTGTTCTCGCTTCTCTCCTTTCACTATATGGCTCCTGAAATCTCTGTAGCTGTTTTTGTGGTCTCTTCCTGTCTTCTCTGGTGCCTGACTCCCTGTGGCTGCTTATGATGGACTTGTTGGAGTGAAAACACAAGTTGACATGCGTCTCCAGGCTCCCATTTGGCCCCCTGGTATTCCCAATCCTGGTCTGAAAGGACAGAGCCCTAGTATGACATTAGCTACAAAGCATAAACAGAAGTAGGGGGAAAGAGGAGGGGAGGAAGCCTACACTCCAAACCAGTGGGCCCATTGAGGAAGGCCTTGAAAGCCAGCAGAACCAGCTATGACCAGCTCAGAACCAGTTCTGGCCCTCTTTGTCTATTCATCTCACTTTTTTTTACTACTTTCTTCCCATTCCTTTGCTTTTAATTAGGAGAAGCTTAACATAACAGTCATGCTCTCTTCATGCTTAAAACTCTGGGCTGGCATTGCCTCAAGGTCCCCCCAGCTCATTTTCTCCCTTTTTCCCCCTCGCTCTTTCCCGCTATGCCCTGAAAATGTGAATTAATAACCAAGCAGAAAACGAATCGGTGTGAACTCTGAGACGATAAACTCTGGGTTATCCAGGCAGCCACGTTACCCGGCTTGCTACGCAGCCACGGCGAGAGCAATGTGGTTGGGCAGCAAAGCATGGTACGCAATTGTGCATGCTGTGCTGTTTCCTGGGAACAGGGCTGGAGGAACAGAAGGGTGATTGTGCCAAGCGTCATTATACCAGGGGGCCTCCTTGGCTCAAACTCGCCAGGGCACTCGAAGGGCTGAAAAGGTAATTCAACGGACCTCAAATCGAAAAAAAATAAAAAATGGTGAACCTTAAATTTGGGAATGGGAAGCGGACCTATGATGGGGCAGAGGTTTTGTGCCAAGAAGCTGAATGGAGAACCGGCCTGTCCTTCATGCACTCTACTAATCAGACAGACAGTGGTTACAAGTGATTGGCCGGAGGAGTTCAAGGCTTTGGGCGGAGTCAATTGAGCTAACTACAACAGGTCCCATTCTTGCATATTTAAACACATAATAGCTGCTGCGTTCGCTCGGCGCCAGAATATGTGACGACTTTCAACCGGGTCTGGAAAACACAAACAGAATTTGTTTTCATTCTGCGCCGACGTCTGGCAACACACTGGGGAATGAAACTGCTTTGCCAACTAGGTCATAGCTTAAGTTTCTTGAATAATGAGAAGTTTATTCATGGATTAAATACTCTATGCAGCCTGCTTTCAATTGCTCATCTAGACTAAACCCGCTAGTACAGCCGCACGCTTCCAAAGACTGGTAACATAGCCTCCCTGCTTATGTAACATTGTCCCACGTACTCAAAAAGAGGAGTGGACATGCTAATTTGTACTCATTATGTCTGCATGACATCAAATAGTCACATGCATTTGTTGCGACATGATTGGTGTTGTCAGGAGCTGATTTAGCACCATGTCTGTGAAAAGCACTTATTAGAAGTGCTGCAACGACACATCAATGTTCATTAAAAACAGCCTACGAATGTGTTTAAACTGTCTATAAAGTACTGCTATTAAGACTGATTCATCCCTCTCTGTCACAGGATTCAACACCAACAAAAACTAAGACTAAGAATGGATTACAGCAAATGGTGAAGAGAAAGAGGTTAAAAAATAGAGGTTTCTTGGCCATTTCTAGGGTGTTCTGGAAGGTTGCTATGTGGTTGCCTACTAATCGATGTCAAAAAGAGCACCCCAATGTCTTTAATGGTTTTGACAGAAGTCTTTTTTGCTCACCAAGGTTGCATTTATTTGGTCAAAATTATCATAAAAGCAATAATAGTTGAATGGCAGTCTAGGTCTATAGGATTTTATCACCACTATTACAAATTGTTTGATTAGTAAAATAAGTTTTAAACCTAAGTTTAACACATAAACGCAGTACATTTTGTCCAGGTGACATTGGGACAGTGTTTAATGGTGAAACAGTCTTAAACTTACCCAAGCAACATGAGCATCATCTCTCCAAAAAAACACAGAATTTTATTTACAAAAATTAAATGAAAGACAAAATTAGATGAGGTGAGAAAAATAGAAGAAAAAAAAAGCAAGATTCAGATGCAGACAGAGAAATCTGGCACCCCCACAACACAGCTGATGCAACACCACAGCATCAGTGACGTGGGCAGTTATATCGGGACGTCGCTCGTTCCAGGGGTTTACACACAGCACTGGAATTTTTGAACTCAGCTTTCAGATGTGAGTGAGCTGTATACAAGGTTTGGTGTTCTGCTCTTTTAAATCAGATTACTTACAGACATACCCGCTCTGTGCACCTGGCACACACTCACACACCTCTGCTATTCACTTCATTAAACCTGCACTGTAATACCCAGGCTAATTGCTCAGTCAAAAGCCCCAGGTCTTTAATTAACCAATGAAGGATTTGGAACTGCTGTGAACAACCCTCTGTCCGGCCTACCATCTGGATTATAATCTCAGATTAT